TGCACTTTTGCTTTTCTAAAGTCAGCGTCAATGAGTGTCGGTGGTTGATTACCGCGCAAATTAAATTTCGCAAGTCTGTGTGGGGTTTTATACGAGGTGAGTTGATTTTTTTATATGCATTGAACTTGAATCAAAGCGTGCGTTTCGGTGATTTTGGAATATTCGCTATCTCTATTTCTCATTGTTCGCTTTTTAATTTTTCGGCAAAATTTTTGTGCGAAAGTACTGTAATACGGTTAGTTTAGAAATGTTACGAATTTTTCCAATGAGAGATCTGGTTAAAAATTTGTCCATGCATACGCTTTCATGACCTTCTCGCCTCTTTGCTTACCCATATTGAAATAGAGAAACGGAATTACGGGTTGTAATTTCTGCCTTTCTTCAAGACTACAATTACTTTGAATGACCTGAATTTAACCAAAGTAATTCCAATGACTGATAAAATATCTTCGGAAATGTTGCAAGAGATAATCGTCCATTTGAAAATTTATTTTCATTTCGAGAATTTTCAGGTTATCGTGCTAAACTTGAAGGTAGTCCTGAAAGCCTGAAACACAAATAAGATAGGAAGAAATGTTCGGAGTCGAAGCTCAAGATAATCGGCAATGAATAAAGACACTTGCCTCATCCATTTACACTGGTTGAGAAGTTGATGCTAAAAAAGGGGTAACATTTTCTGCGTTTTTTTTTTCAATTTTGAGTGTTTTGGGAACTGGTGGAGTCTTCTTGGTGAGAAGCATGGAGGTGAATTTAATGTGATTATAAGCTTTTTTAAAATCAAGATATTCTTATAAATAGTCTTTGGTAGTACACTAAATTACTGTATTAGGTAGTGGCATATTCATCACGGAACTAAAAAATATTTTATTTTTTGTATCTGAAATTAAAAATAGTTTTGTTCTCTTTTTAGGTTTCATCGAGAAAAACTCATGGGTAGGAATGCAGGAATACTACGAAGAACTGAAAATGGCCATGCTGAGAGTTTGCACGGAAACCAGAACGGGAATCGCTCGGAATCGTAGTATTACGAAGTCTAGATTAGTTTTGGCAAAGAAAACTGTGGGTTCGGGCGACGGTAACGAATCTGGAGATGAGTCTGCCAGTTTCCTGCGGAAAGGTTTGTCCTCTACCACGACCATCTTCAAACTTATGGGGAAGTTGGCGCAGCGATCCACTTCACGACAGGGTTAATTGATGTGTTCTTTTCTTGAGCATGCCTAGANTGTTGATCCTTTTAATAGGCTCTGTTGTTTCTGGGCTCGGGCCGGGTTTGCCGGATCGAAGTTTGGAGGTCGTACCGGATGCGGAGGTGTCAACTTTGGTGGCTCGTTCTCCGGACCTCAGCCCGTACACTGCAGTTCCTTCGCCAGGGTTTTTGCGCGTCATTCTCGTAGTTCTCTTGTCTCTCATGGTTTGCAACGTGCTGCTGTTCAACCGTCTATGGGCCTTGGAGCGAAATTTGACAGCGGACCGGACAAATGGAGTTTTCGCGAGATTCGTCATTCCGGATTTTTGGTGCGTTCATTGATCGTGTGTTATCTGGATTCGTGTCGGATGTAATTTCATGTGTGCTTATTATGATACTAGTGAGCCTCTTGAAGATTCTGATGAAGTTTTGCGGCTGTTCCGCGAGCAAGAGAAATCGCATTTGGAGGAAGTTGCGCATTGGAGGATTGTGATTTCGAATTCCGCTGCACTTCTGAAAGAAGTACGTCTTTTCACCGACTCGTAGAATATAACAGCGAATGCGAAGATTGAGTAAAGAATGCTCACTGCGAGGGTTCTGGCCCTAAATTTTTGAAATGTCAGGCTTATCATTATGTGGAAATCTACTGCTAAGTTCGTAAGGTTTGGAGAGAATGACCTTAATTAAGGAATCATGAGTCGATCAAATCATGCCGATAATAAATATTTTTCATCAAAAATAAATATAGTCTTGGTCTCTAGGAGAGTCGGGATTTTTTTTCCATTTCAAATCTTGGCTTTAAATCTTATTTTGGAGGTGACCAATATCTTGAAGTAGGAAGAGGGAAAAGATGTACCTCATTAATCAACGAAATCAACCCTAATTCTTCGTTGCGGCTTTAGCCATGCAAATTAGAAATTCAGAAGCGGAAACAACGAAATGGATAGCTTAGTCCAAAATCTGAATGCTTCGTAATTAATAATTCTAGCTTCCGGCTCTAAATTTTCGGTTGTGTTCCGTCGTCAAATTAAAAATTTCATGCAAGTCCATAATTCAGAAAATCATGGTGCATATAGAAAGGAACTTTTGCCAAAGTTGGGTTCTGAAAAGCTTCGTTTTGAGCTGGCTTAAATTATTTTACCTCGATCTATCAATCTTAGTTAGTGATTATTTTCGCACCTTTTCGTTTGCATCTTCGATATTCTCTCGTCATGTTTCTCTTTGAATTCTTTCAATTTCGCAGGTTGAAGGTTCTCTGACATCATTGCAGGAGCGTCTGGTCCATCATCCGCAAAAAATGCGGCGAACTGCGGATCGGCTGCAGTGGTTGATGGCGAACGTTGTCGAGCCAGAAATCAGCGTTGAAGACGACAACGAGTCTGATGAGTTGCGGTGAATGTGCACAAAATGAGTCCCGCTTTCGGGTTAGGGGGTAAACGCGCTTTAGGAGCTGTGGGAACGTGAATACATATTTTTTTCTAGAATGGGGAAGATGAGAGAAAGGAAAAAAGGTGATTTGTCTTGAGTATTTCGTCTTTGTTGGCGTTTGACGTGGCGGAAAAGTCATTGGCGCTCCCGTGTGACTGATTGTGAGAGGACAAAGAAATTTTATGTGATATTTCAAAACGAAGGGAGTGGCATCTCAGTTTTATTACAGCAGTTTTCGTCGGGTGGTAATAAGGAGTATTGTTGGAAGGATATTGGTTGGAAATTATTTTTCATAGAGCGTCTCAAACTTGGGATACGTAGCTGTTGTAAGAAAGTTTGCTGATGAGAAAGGATCAGGGAAACGACCCTCCTTTGCTTTTTTTTTTATTATTTTAGGAGGAAACAAAGTGCGTATCATTGATTCGAATTGCTGTTATGTTCAGGTCGTCGCGGAAGTTTTAATCGTATTCTTCTGCATATGCTGAGGTGATGGTTGCATTTCTAGTTTGATCGCTGGCCCCTTGTTATAAGCTTGATCTAACTGTTCTTGTGACCCAATACAATTTTCCCAGGAAACCAAAGGTATTCGCCATCTTTTCTTTTATTCCGGAACTGGTTGTATGCTGTAGGTGGTCTTCCTTCTCAATGTACTGTAGTTATAACCAAAGTACTTCAGTGATTCTTACAAACGAGCTATGCAGTGTAAGTAACAATGAATTCTTGTCGGAAGGTCTCGTCAGGAGACTCAGGACCAGGAAGCAATTCACTTCGCTGAGAACATCGCAGAAGAAAACCAATCCGTTATCTGTCATTGAATTTTAATTTCTGATCCGAAATTTACTACAGTATTTTAGGCGTTCCAACTCTTTCGTTTGCAATGCTGTGTGATTTTTTCAGTGTTCCTTCTTCTGTATACGCAAACAAATGAGGCATATTGAGGTTCGTTACTTGTATGCTTCCGTGACGCTACTTCACACTATTTAATGAAGTGCCAAAAAATCATGCAAACGACGTGGTCCTTGAATTAGATGAGCTGAAAATTCGGGTAAAACCCTCACTCGTGCAAGACGCGCTTCTCAAATTTTAGTGACATAATTCTTGATGCTATACAGTATTCATTACATGGATGTGATTCGTAGCTCAATTTCTTCGATTTAATTTTTCCCTTCGCTCGTACAGTCGTACTACAGCTGCTGTCATGATTTTCATAAAAATGAACGCCTGGACGAAATTTTAGAGGAATCTTCATTACAACATTTTAAGAGGCACTGATATCTATTCTAGCTTGAAATAAAATGTTCAGCATTCATACTTTTTAGATACAGTATTTTGGTTCAAATACGCGTTTGTTCCTTTTGCATGGCTGTCTTTGATTTTTTTAATGAATTTAAAGTATGGTGTAATATTGTTACAATGGAGCCATTAGGGCCAGTAAAAATACTAAAATAGCTTCGTTATAATGAAAAATTCATTATAAGGAACTTGAAATAATTTTGTGGTTATTGGATAGCTAGAGACCTAAAATGAATTTTTCGTCAACAATTATTCTCACCATGACCATTCAAGTAAATAACCTTTGAAAAACAGCTTGCAGTTTTTGCAACAACTTCTATTTT